CGTTTTACAGAAAAGTGTTTCCAACAAAAGTTGTAGGGTTTAAGAAGATCTATATACTGATTCTATCAGTTTGACCTTGGATGGCGTCGTCAAGGTCAGGTCAAGGTCACATTGACTTTTTTAAATGACACCCCCTACATTTGATTGCATATTCTTATAGCTTAATTCAAGAGCTTTCCAAAACACTATAATAATGTTCATTTTTATTAAGTACTTTGCGAGTTATGAGGGTTGAATGATAGAGTAGCGCCGGTATTAACATTATCCAAGGTGTACTACATGGAGGTTACTCGCTCGGATTTGCATCTGTTGTGTGTGTGATCCAGCTAACTAAGGCAAGATCGATTCCTCAACATATCCTCATATTTCGCTGAAGTCAAATTGCCAAAAAATTGCTCCATAAAACGTGTATGAAACGTCTCGTTAGTTCCTTCATTTACCGCTATGTGACGCACTACATGCAGTCTAACTCGCATTTAAAATTCAACTAAGAATGTATAAAGCTATCAAAGAACGAGCACCTTCTAACTTCAGCTTTGAGCAAGCAGAAATTAATTGTTATCGTCCAAATACAACGTACGATTAATTAAAATTAAACGTTTTAAAAATGGCTGGCGACTTGTCGGAACGTGAAAGAATCACTATCCTCATGATGCGTGGATGGGGTGATAACGAAAGATCGTTCTCTGATGTCGTTCGATTATTTAATGACACGTATCCGAACCGTCGAATTAATAAGTCCACTGTGTTAAAAACAATAGAACGTTTTAGACAAACTGGTAGCGTAAGAAATCGCTCTAAGTCAGGAAGACCATTGTCTGCAACCAACGAAGAAAAACAACTTGATGTTCTGCAGACATTTATTGAAGATCCCAATTCTAGTGTTCAGAGAGTCGCTCAAACTCACGATATTGCTCCCATGTCGGTTTGGAGAATTTTAAAGAAGAACAAGTTCCATCCATATAAATTGCAATACGTTCAAGAATTGCAAAACGGAGATGAGGAGCGTCGTATACATTTCTGTGAAAGAATGATGGCACTAATAGATGTCCGGCCCATCTTCCCTTATCAAATTGTTTTCACAGACGAGGCAACTTTTACCTTAACGGGAGAAGTTAATAATCAAAATTTTCGTTTCTGGTCAGATGAGAATCCGAATTGGGTGCGGGAAACTCACACACAACATCCACAAAAAATAAATGTATGGTGCGGAATAATAGATGGCTATTTAATAGGGCCGTTTTTTTTTGAAGAATATTTGAACGCTCAAAGGTATGAGAGATTACTTGTTGATCAAATAATTCCAGCCATACAGAATACTTTTCCAAATAATTTCCAAGAAATATGGTTTCAGCATGATGGAGCTCCTGCTCATTTTGGTGCAGGACCACGTCGTATTTTAAATGAGACTTTTCCGCTACGGTGGATAGGAAGAAGGAACGGAAATGAGGGAGGAGAGGATTGGCCACCTCGGTCACCAGATCTAACTCCTCTTGATTATTATCTATGGGGATATCTGAAGAGTAAGGTTTACAGAACAAAACCTAAAACCATTCACGAATTGATACAGCGAATAAGGGATGAAATGGCTTTGATACCTTTTGAAACGAATCGTAAAGTCATTTCTACATTCTACCAAAGATTAGCATATTGTCAGGAAGTAAATGGCAGCCACTTTCAGCATTTACTTTAACACATTGAAACACATTTGCAATCGTTTGGTGCAACCTAACCTGATCTCTGTATACACGCACCGCACGCACGCACACGCACACATTTCGAACAATTATTATGATAAATGAGCATCCACAAATTTATTTACTGTTTACTATGTCGATTGCTTTCCAGGTCTTTAAATGCTCGATTGTAATTTGGTTGGGTCTTTGCTTTTGCTGACTGGATCCACGACCGATCTTGCCTTAGTTAGCTGGATCACACACACAACAGATGCAAATCCGAGCGAGTAACCTCCATGTAGTACACCTTGGATAATGTTAATACCGGCGCTACTCTATCATTCAACCCTCATAACTCGCAAAGTACTTAATAAAAATGAACATTATTATAGTGTTTTGGAAAGCTCTTGAATTAAGCTATAAGAATATGCAATCAAATGTAGGGGGTGTCATTTAAAAAAGTCAATGTGACCTTGACCTGACCTTGACGACGCCATCCAAGGTCAAACTGATAGAATCAGTATATAGATCTTCTTAAACCCTACAACTTTTGTTGGAAACACTTTTCTGTAAAACGTATATTTTCCGAGATATTTAGGGGTTTCCACACTTTTGGTAGACCCTGTATATATATATATATATATTGACAATAAGCAAAATAAATGTCTATTAATTATGCACTTTTTATTAATAATAAAAAGTAAATGTAAAATGTAAGAGTAAATGTGATAATACGGCGTTACGTGTTTTAACACTGGTACATAAATATAATTCTTTTAATTTTGGCGCCATATAAATCGCCAATTAATTGTGCATAGTGTAATTCTCTACTAAGCACGAGGCATGATGTACGGCACACTTTGGATAACCTATGAAAAACGGTTTATGCAATATTTTATTGTGTCTTGTGTGCATTGTGCATTGTGTAAAAACTTCTCTTGGACGAAATAAACTTATAGAGTAGTAGCAGGCAATAACACTTAAATTAAAGGTAAGTCCTATTATATAATACATCCTATATTATTTCATTAACTTTTTATTGCGGTATAGGTTAAGAATCGTTACAACGTATTTTTTCTTTATGTTAATTAATTTCTTAATTTCAAAATATATATGAATTGTTTAACATTTTTTGTTTTTTAGGTAATAACTATTTCATTACAATCGGATTAATAAACTTTATGGCACTTTTTATCCATTTATTTTAAGTTTTGTGTCTTGTTGAATGAAAATCAAAATGTCAAACAAAAAAAGTCAAAGAGAAAAATTGTGTCGTAAAATTAACGAAAGACTCAATCTGTCATTAGCAATGATTAGTGAAACTAATCAATTAACAGATCATGAAACAATCTCAGATCAGAAATGTGAAAAAATACAGAAAAATAGTGATAATGAAATTATTATTGATAATAATGATAACAATGATTTTCAAAATAAAAACAATGATTTTCAAAATAACAATAACATTTTATTAAATAGTAAAGATAATAATTTGAAATTGAATGATTATTCTTCTCTTGCAATTAGAGATTTACAAGAACATAATAACACTAGTATTTCACTTCCATTATTTACAAAGTGTAAGGAATCTCTTACTACAAAATTAGGAAAATAGTCCATTGATAGAAATATTAGCCTAACTGCATTTAAAGAATTATTAAATATACTTCGTGAAGAACCATCTTTGACTAATATCTTAACAGCTGATCCACGTTCAATTTTAAAAACACCTCGCAAATCTAATTTTTTAAACAATTCATTTCATTATTTTGGTATACGCAACTCATTAAATTCTTCAACTTTAAAACATAATATAATTGTTGATGAAAACACAGAATTTTGTCTCGCAATTAATATTGATGGACTGCCTTTAACAAAAAGCACATCAAGTTCTTTTTGGCCAATTTTGGGTACAGTAAAATCAATTAAAAAGTTGAAAAATCAAGTATTTATAATAGCTTTACATTATGGAAGTGAAAAACCTAAAACTAGTGAATTTTTAAAAAATTTTGTAGAAGAATGTATAGAACTATCAAATGGAATAATGATACAATCTGTGTTATGTAAATTCAAAATTTCAATGTTAATTTGTGATACCCCAGCTAAGTCTCATATTTTATCTGTTAAGAGCCATTCAGGTTATTTTTCATGTACAAAGTTGTGACGATGCTCTCGCATCGTCACTGTAAATAATATTGTAAATAGTAATGTTAATTCGTTCATGTGTTCATTTGTTCATTGTTCTTTAAATTGTTCTTATGGTTATCTGGTGATTTATAAAATAAAGACGTTAACTATAGTAATTTTTCGAGTAAATTCCTTACTCGACGCCTCTGGCGCCCACCTGCGATCCCGCCTATGTTTCCCCACCTAGTCCTACTCCCTGCTTGACGCACGCGAGCGTGGGGGGCCCTCGAGCCGTATAAAAGCCGGCTCGCGCAACAGACCGGTATCTTATTCCTTTCCAGCTTCCGACCAGTTCTGAACCTCTGGGGATACCCGAGACATCTTGAATCCTGACCGCTCTTGCCGACGGAGACGGCGTGACCTCTCCGCCGCCTGGGTTTGCCCGGCATTCGGCTTCCTGACCGTTCCCGCCGACGGAGACGGGTGTGACCTCTCCGCCGCCTGGGTTTGCCCGGCATTCGGCTTCCTAATCGTTCCCGCCGACGGAGACGGGTGTGACCTCTCCGCCGCCTGGGTTTGCCCGGCATTCGGCTTCCTGACCGTGCACGCCGACGGAGACGGGTTTGACCTCTCCGCCGCCTGGGTTTGCCCGGCACTCGGCTTCCTGACCGCGCACGCCGACGGAGACGGGTCTGACCTCTCCGCAGCCTGGGTTTGCCCGGCACTCGGCTTCCTGACCGTGCACGCCGACGGAGACGGGTCTGACCTCTCCGCAGCCTGGGTTTGCCCGGCACTCGGCCTCCGCGCACCGCCGTACTCCGCAATCGCGACACGCTCGCCGACCGAAACCGCGACCGACCATCTAGGCCACGGGTGCCCAATTAGTTAGTCCGAAGAGCCAAATTTCAAATTTTGAATATTGCCTGCGGGCCAGACTAAGATTAAGTTATTGCCCTCTTTGCGTTACCCAGAGACCACCACGTGGAGGTGAGGCAATGATAATCCCCATTTTTGTTCTTTTTTATTTTTGTTTTTTTTGTTTTTTTATATATTTTTTTTGTGCTTGTTGTTTTTTTATGTTTTTTTTAATGTTTTTTTTATAATTTTTTTATGTTTTTAATTGTTAATTTAATGTTAAACAAAGTTTACAATATATTTAATTATATTTTTATGTTTATATATGTTTCTAAATAAAAACTAATGTGAGAAGTGCGATTTTTTGTCTTTAGCCAACTTGGTAAACTCAGGATTGTAGCTAGTAGTAGCAGCAACCAAACAATCCTCAAGATGACGATCGGTTAGTCGGTTTCGAAACTTGTTTTTCACATAATTCATTTTTGAGAATGCAGCTTCGCAAATATAAGTTGATCCAAACATTGTCAATACAAACGAACTTATCTTTCGTAGATTAGGATAAGTTTCAACGGGCAAAATATCAGTCCAAAACATGGTTATATGTGTTTCTTGATAACTTTCTTTTAATACACTGCTTTCTTGTAATTCGATAGTTTCCAGTTGAAGCTTGGCTTTATCAATACCACTGAAGAGATGCATAGCTTGTGTAACCCAGTTACTGTTGGGTTCCATAGAAAACGGAGTCTTTAAAGCAGTGAGTAAATCAGAGATTTGATTAAATCCTGAAAATCGCGAAGAAAATTCGATCTGCACTTTTTGTAAAAACTCGACAAAGATGTCCATGCCAATGTTTTCATTAGGATTGTTTTCAATATGAGCTTTCAATGAAGCAAAATGAAGCAATTCCTTTGAATTTAAATCATTTTCGAACAACTGCAATTTCCGCTGGAATGCTTTTATTATTTCCCACATATCGCAGAGAACCTTATTCTTCCCTTGCAAATGTTTGTTTAGTTCATTAAAATGGGAAAACACATCATTCAAAAAACAAATTTTGCTAACGTTCTTTATATCACTCAAGAATTCGAAGTATTCATTAGCAGTCTTAGTATTTCTGGACTCAAGAAAACTGCGAATTTCTGATAGTAAGCATATTAATCTGTTCAATACATTGCCTTTACTTAGCCAGCGAACATCATTGTGAACAAGCAGATCTATGTACTCGCTTTCACATTCTTGCAAAAATGTTTTTAGTAAACGGTGTTGTAGAGCCGAATGCGAGCGCAGATAATTAATTATTTTCATAGCTGCTGTCATGATATTCTTAAGATCACCAGAAAGTTTTGCGCAAAGAACAGTTTGATGAATTATGCAATGCAAAGCAATAATCTTGTAATTTCGATTTTTTATGAGTGTAATGAAACCATTAACCTTACCAATCATAGCCGGCGCACCATCAGTTGCTATCGAAAGAATATTATCGAAAGATTGTTAGACTCCATGAACTTTTGAAAATTTTTGAATAGTATTTCACCGGTTGTGCGATCATGAAGTGGCAATAATGTTAAAAGTTCTTCTTTAACTTCACTGTTCCAAAGATATCGAATATAAACTGCCATTTGCGAAATATCAGAAATATCAATTGACTCATCAAGTGCAAGTGAGAAGAATTTTGCTTGCTGCAGATCACGCAAAATGTTTTCGTGAACTGATCTTGAGCAAGACTCAATTTTTCTAGTTGCCGTGTTGCGCGATAAAGGAATTTTTTTGAAAGTTTCGGATACTTCTTTTTTATTTTCAAAAAGAGTATTTGCGGCTTCAAGTAAGCATGATTTAATTATTTCTGAGTGAGAATAAGGAACCATATTTTTCGCCATAATCCAAGAAATTCGTAAAGAAGTTTCAGCGCATTTTTCTTGCTTAGTCAGAGCACGTTTCATTATTAAGTTTGATTGTTCACGTGACTTTTGAAGCGATGTTATTTTTTCATTACGTAGATCAGATCCTTTTGGATACTCTTTGTCATACTTAAAAGCATGTTTTATATCGTAATGTCGTTTCAAATTAGCGGCCTTATTAACCGCCACCGTTTCATTACAAATTAAGTACGTTGGTTTGGCATTTTTGTTATCAGGAAGGATGAAAAAATATTCTTCAGTCCAATGCAATTGAAAAACTCGATTTTCCGAATCAACTTTACGACGCTTTGGCTCGGACATTTCGAATGTTAGAAAAGCGAAAAACGCAGGATGCAACTAGTTTTGAATAAAACCGAATTGAAAATAGCGATAGAAATAAGCGGTAACCAATAATGCCAGAAACTAAGTCCTTGATAGCATGCAATAGCAGCCGACTAAGGCAAGATCGAAGTGATCCAGCCGACTAAGGCAAGATCGAAGCGATTCGTACGATGCGTATTTCTCGAGATATTTTGATGTCTCAAGTTAAAAAACTCACCCTGTATATATACGATTCGTGCTTGTTCAATGATGCCAGAAACAGTCTCGGCGTCTTGCCCGTCTCGGTAGCATGGGATAGCATGTGGAGAATACGATTATATTTGGGAGTACGGTTGCGCGTGCGGGCCGGATTGAAAGGCTGCGCGTGCCGGACATTGGGCACCCGTGGTCTAGGCTAAGTTTACTGTAATCGTCCGTAGGTTAAGTTAGAAGGATAAGTACTAGCGCACCATCGTAGGCTAAGCTCGCGTAATATAAGTTAGTTATAATCACCGCGTAGGATAAGACCTAGCATAAGATATTTACCAATAAAGGCTTGTTGATTACTGAAAGAGGACTCGTAAGCTTGACTCTCCTACCTACTCCCGAATCTTGGCACCGGCGAGCCAGTCCGTGGCGAACGGGATAGGCCGTACCGTTACAAAGTGTACTGAAGAAGGCGACATGGTTAACAATGTTTTATGCTTTCATAAAATTGAAAATTATGAAAAAAGAACAGATCATTCATTTAGAAATACTCTTCAAGTCGAACATCATACAGGAGAAACACTTTGGCTTCAAATTCCCAATTTTAATATGATTGACAATGTACCTTTAGATTATATGCATATTCTTCTATTAGGTGCAACAAAAAGGTTGTTATGCTGTAAGCGTTATGGATGGATATTTGGCAAGTCTCCTCATAAATTACGCTTCAAGTATTAATAAAATTAGCAATCTTCAGCTGTTAAAAAAATATATTCCTTGTGAATTTGCAAGAAAAACTCGGCCAATAAATGAATGTAAAAGATTTAAAGCAACCGAGTTTAGACTCTTTTTATTATACACAGGTCCAATAGTTTTGAAGAAAATAATACCATTGAAAGAGTATAATAATTTTCTTATGCTAAGTTTAGCAAGCTCGATATTGATAAGTAACACTATGTAAAATTTGAGAATTATATTTCTTATGCCGAAGATCTAATGAAACATTTTATTAAGAATTCTATTACAATTTATAGACCTGATTTCATTTCACACAACATACATAGTTTATTGCATTTAAGTGATTGTGTGCGCCTGTTTGGTTCACTTGATGAATTTAGTGCCTTTCCATTTGAAAATTACATGCAGAAGATAAAAAAGAATATTCGTAGGCATTCGCAGCAGTTGCAACAAATTGTGTGTAGAGTTAGCGAGGAAAATAATTTTTTGCAACCAATACAATCTACAAATGATAATTCCGTAACATTATTGCGGGAACATTTTAATGGTCCATTGATAAATAATTGCACTTCTCCGCAGTACAGGAAGCTTAAAACGATTAATTATTGCTTAAATGTTTTAAAAGTAGCTGATCGATTTGTTGAATTGGATGATACAACTATTGTTGAAATACAAAATTTTGCTTCATATCAAAATGAAATATTCCTAAAAGGAATCAAATATATTGCACATAAAGATTTCTATTCAAAGCGATGTTTTTCTTCATTATTTGATATTAAAGTAATTACAAAATATAATACTGAATTGAAAATGTGGAGAATGGACAAGATCAGAAGAAAATTATTAGTTTTACCATATAATGATAAATATGTTGCATTTCCTCTACTTCATTTATAATTGCTTTAATTTCATAAAAATATTAAAATAAATACAAATAAAAATAATGAAAAAATTTTGAAATTATATGGTTAATTATGATATTTATTCTATTCTTTTATTGATCTTGATTTCTTTGCTAAATCATAAGTTTTCTCAATTGGCATATTTCTATTTGTATACAAGTGATTCGAGAAATTTAATAATTGCATTTATAAGTTTAAGGAATTGCTATTGATTATATAGATAACTTGGCTTGTCGTGCGATTCAAACAGGAAGATACTGTTGAGGCAGTACCGAAAACATGGTTTCTGTCAAAAGAATCTGCATGTTATTGGCCACCAAAAAGTTACGATAATACAGCTATTAAAGCATTAATAAAAAAGAAGCATAATCCTGGCTCGACATGGAAAAAATATGAAGCAATTGTTTTAGGCACATATAGTAAATATTATTTATATTATGTTAAATTTTTATTAAATTGTATTATGTAAAATTTTTATTAAAACAAAATAATTAACTTTTAATTCGTTTAGATGATTTAAAAATTGCTAAAAAAAAGGTAATCAAAGCCCAAAGTACAGATGACTTTTTATCACATACAGAGACCTTAACAAAAAAAAAAGAATAAAATGCATAAACGGAGACAAGACAAGAAAAAACACAATTCCTCAGATACTGATAAATCCAATGAGTCTAACTGTGATATGTCTGATGAAGATAGTAACACGTACCCATGATTTTCACATTTTGGCAACACACATGTTGAACGTGGTAAAATAATTAAATTTTTCTAGTAAAAATTTGTTTAATTTTCAAAAAGTAATTTTTTTATATTTAATATACAGACAGTAATCACTCTCCAACGGAAAGTCAAGATAAAAATATCACTAATGGTAAGAGTTTTTGAAATTTCAATTTTTATATCAAAATGCACGTTTGCATTGTTAATTAGATCAATATGTTAAAGAAAATTAAGTCCAAAGCCGCGTATAGGTATAAATTTGAATATAGATTTGAAAAATTAATTATCAATTCAAATAACATTAACGTTTATTCTAAAAGTATATAAATTTATTCCATTGTAAGGCTGACAGCACATGAACGGATTCAACACGGAGCAGAAAAAGTCATCATTACTGTTCGCGAATGAGTTATTCGAAACGAGAGGCGCGACAGAAAAGGTCTTGAACTTGGACACTGCACAATTGAGAAAAAACAAGCCACGACACGTATGATTTTTTTTGTATTTTTGATAGTTTTATTTTTAACACCACACGATGAATAAAGTTTTACACAAAATATATATATATATTTCAGAACTCGAAAAATATTGCCGAAATTAGTTCAAGTCCGTAATCGAGAGGAAAGTCCGAGTGAAAAAGCGGTCGAGTAATACTGCGAAGCGATTTACAATAAGTGCGGTTTGGCGAAAAGTGCGAGACTTCGGCGTGTCCTCGCGTGGTGCTCGTTATATACCGGGCAGATTTTTGGGCCCGTGTCGACGTGGCCCAATTAACTTTGTATTTTGGCGGTGACCTCAGGGCGCCGCGCGTCATTGGTCGCTGATGAGGTCTACCGCTGACAATGAGTTAATTGTCATGCGCGCGATCTTTTTAGATCAGCTGATTAGTGATCAGCTGATCGTGACGCATGGGCGCGCATGACCATAAACTATACAGTTTTCGGCGACCGTTGACACTGTTATTGTCAATGGCAGAGACAAACGTTTTTTGCGATGGCAACAAAATAGAGATAACTCGAACGATCGGTTTTTTTTCTATAAATAGAAACGTCGAGAAGATTCTCGACGTCCGTTAATTTGAAAAATTTCGGTTTTCAGTAATAATGAGCTGAGATGATATGCATGCGAAATATGAATTTCAAACATCCCGCCCGCCTCGTCAGTACATGACGAAATGAATGAGTGC